AAAAAAAAATTCACATAGGAATCACTTCAAGATTTTTTCTCTTCTATAACCCTGTTCATCTTTCCAAGTAGTTGTAACAACTCTTTAACAAAACGCCTATCTTCACTTGGGATTTGACTATTCTTTTTTGCTTCTAATTGCCAGAGAGTGCATGCAATCATGAGAGAGAGGAAGTGAGGGAGGGAGGGAGGAAAAGGAAGAGAGAGAAAAACAGAGAGGAGAAAAGAGAAAGCACTCCCCAATAGGGGTTGGTCATGCAGCAACTCTTTCTCCATTTCTCCACCCAGCTGGGATACTGGCCATGCACGCCCATGTGCTCAGTGTGTGGATTTGAAATACAGTCAGTCATGTGGGATCAGGCTCCCTTAACCACTGTGCCACAAGACTAAACCTTTGATTCTATTCTCACAGTCAGTGAAAAGCTTTTTCTCAAAAAAGGACTATCTTATAAATACTTTATTTCTTGTAAAAGATTAATCTCTGAGCTGTAGTATCTTGAACATATGAGCATCATAATATTGAGATATATAAGTGCTCTTTTAAAAATACTTTTTCTTCTACTTTCTGTCTTTCCATTTGAAGTTACAGTTCCTTTGGCAATCCCATCTACTCTGATTTTTACCTTTCTTTTTTTTTTTTTTCGAGAAGTTTTTGCTATAGAGCATGTGCGGTCGTTAGATAGAGATAGACAGAAAGCGAAAAATCACCCCCCAGGGGGGATGGCCACACCGCTATCCCTTCTACTCCATTCTCCAATTGAGATCTTGGGCACACACACACACATGCTCAGCGTGACTTTTAAGCCACCGAGTCTGGGATGCGAACCGCGGTCGACTACATGGGAGTCCAGCGACATAGCTATTACGCTAGCTGCTGGTCCCTGATTTTTACATTTCAAAGTTATTGCAATTGAAAGTCTTACTACTCTCAGCTACTTATTTATTCTGTGATTGCATTTCTGCTAAACTAGACTAGAAGCTCTCTAGCTAGTAATTTTTACATCTTATATTACTCTAGCTCCACATGTAGCACAGTCCACTAACAGCATCTATTTACAAAGATCCTTGAATAACCAGTTATCTATTCTTGCACATAAAACTGTATGGCAGTGAGCAATCAATTCAAAGCTAATATATTCCATCTCTAGCAATGTTTTCCCACTATTAATATTAAGATTTGGCAGTTTAAGAGTCTAGCTAATATTCATGATGGGTACAAATTTGAAAGATACGAGAAGACAGAATTTCACTATATCACAGTCTACATAGATGGGTCTAGAACTCAACATCAAATGTTCAATTCTGTTCAAATTGTTTGCCACCGTCCCAACAAATGGACTATTAGCTATTCAAGAAGCAAATATGAACTTTGCCCCATAAAGACTAACCACGATTAAACCCTGAGAAATAGACAGATGTCATTGACTTAGAAGCAAATTCAGAGAAACTATTCCACAATCATTGGTTATAACCCTAACCCTGCTTAGCCATCTCATAGAAGCATGTTTCTCGTTACATGAAATCAGAATAAAAATTCATGTGAATTAGCATTATAGTTTAATGTACTGGTGACAGGATAAAGATGTAGAAACCCGAAATCCGTCACACTTCACTGCATGTGCTTTGCTATGGCTGCTCTACCTCTCCATCTTTTCTTGTGACTATGAGAGTGAAAGTATGTATCTTCCTAGTTTGTCACAGTAAAACCAGATGTGTGCAAGTGGGCGTTTCACATTATAGACTGCCATATTGCTATACTACACACACACCTCATATCATCACATCACTAGGGTTTGATGTGCCATGAAATTCTAGATCTAAAAATTTAGTCATGCTTCTGAGGAATGATTCTACTGGGTCATTGGAAAAGTCATGAAGTATTTTTTTGTTTTTCTTTGCAAAAATGCAACATGACTTTTCCAATGACCTAATCTGTCACAAAATGCAACACTGTGTGTGCTCTTAATACAAACTCCATACCTATCCTGATCCATAGCTACATAGGGGAACAGCTGTAATCCAACCTCCTCATCCCATGTAATTCCAAAGTAACTACTTTATGGCTAAGGCACAGTCAATGTATCAGATTTAATAAGAAAAAAGGCTTCTAGTGACCATTAACAAACCAAATAGTATCCTTAAAATTATAAATACAGGTAAAAATGTGTTATTTCTCCATAAACTTAGCTACTTTGCCATGAATTAGCTTTAAACATAAACATTGAATAGATGATTGACACATATTTATTAAATTCAAAAGTTCCTAAGTACAACAAGAAATGTAAGAGCTAAGAAACATAACAGCAAGCTCTGCCTTGAAAGTACTAAAACATTGGAAAGTTTATAGTTTAGCTCAGGGTCTCTCAACCTCAGCATTATGACATTTTAGGGTGGACAGTTCTTCATTGAAGGAGATTTTTTCTATACATTGTAGCATGCTTAGCAGCATCCCTGGCCTCAATTCACCAAATGCCCATAGTGTCATCAGCTGTGACAACCAAATGTAGCTCCAGGCATTGGAAAATATCCGCTGGGGAGCATAATGCCCAAAGCTGAGAACCACTGATTTATCTGATATTTCAAAACAATACTGCAATTTTAAAAAATCATCAAATTAACTTAACAGGTACAAGATAGTGTGCACAAAGGACCTAGAACTGTTTGTCTGTAATGAGACAAACGGTCTCTCACTCACACATCTCATAGTCCTCTCTTGGCCATCTGATGAACTATGCAGTCTTATAAAGAACTGGAGGGACCAGCAGTTAGTGTAATGGCTATGTCGCTGAACTCCCATGTAGTCGATCGCAGTTCAAGTCCTGGATCCAGTGGCTTAAACTCACGTCAGGCTTGTGTGCCCAAGATTCCGAGAGAAGAATAGAGAAGAAGGGATTGCGGTGTGGCCATTCTCCCTGGGGGGTGATTTCTCGCTTTCTGTCTCTCTGTCTCCTTCTGTCTCTCTGGTGAGCACACACGCCCTGTAACAAAACCTTCTCCAACAAAAAAAAAAAAAAAAAAAGAACTGGAAAGAACTACGGAAATCATTGAGTTAAACTCCTCACTGTACAGAAAAAAATCTAAGACCTAGAAAGAGTAAGTGGACTGTCACTAACCATACCAATACCATAGGTTATACATTAAAAGTAATAGAATTCACATAGTCCTTGGACAATTCACTTAGGAACTCTGGTTCTTCACCTCTAAAAATCAAGTGACTGAGGGAGAATGAGGGATGGCCTGTGATCAGAATCCATGAGAATGACTGTATCCTCAAAGTTCTTCCACCCTCTCTGTCCCTGCTTTTCTTTTATAAAGAGATTTTTGCTGTAGTGTACATGTGCTCAACAAAGAGGCATAAAGAGAAAGTGAGAAATCCTCCCCTGGGAGGGGTGGCCATGTCGCAATCCCTTCTCCTTCATTCTCCTTTCAGGACTTTGGGCATGTATACACATGTGCCAGCATGAGTTTCAAGCTGCTGGGTCTGGGACTTGAACTGCAGTTGGCCACGTGGGAGTCCAGTGCCTTAACCAATATGCTACATGCTGGACCCTGTGTCTTTGCTTTAATCCATCCTTTACAATAATGCCATGGCATTACTCTCAAAGGAGTATACAACTCTATGTATCAGCACTTTGTGAGGACAGAAAGACAAGAAAAACAAGAGTCTGTGACTTAATGTTCTGACACCCTCTGGGGAGGACAGATGGTAATTACTTGGCAGACTCTCAATGGAATACATGCGGGAGTCACCAGACCAAACTGGGGTTGGGAGATCAGGGTGCCAAAAAAAAAAAAAAAGTATTCCTACTGGAAGGAATTTCTAGGTTAAATCCTATAGGTAGGGTAAAAAGTAGCCAGCAATAAAAGGGGGAGAAAGTGTGGTAGAAGAGAGGAAGAGGGAGAGGACACTCCCAGCAGAGGAAATATTTCTAGATAGTCCCATAGGTCCCACTTCTCCAGGGAACCTTGAATTCAACATATTCAAAGGCCCACAGGCAGGGACGACCAGGTGAAGAGCTTCTGAAGAAGCAAAGTCCAGCAGTGGCAAAGTAAAAGATGACACTGCAGGTACATGCAAGGGACAAGTGATGAAGAACTTTAATACATTTATTGAGGGCTGACATTTAATCTTGAAGGATAGGGAGAGCCACTTAAAATTCTTTGAGCAGTAAAGCTACCTGGTCAGAGCTGCTCTCTCTCTAAAGGGACCGCATTTTTTTAAAAAAAAAAATCAAGAAGCAATAAAAATGATTACATATCTTAATTGATTTTAGTCACTTCCTCCCTCATCCCTTGAAGATCCAGTTCAATGCACAAGGCAGGGCGGAGAGCAGAAACACAAACCAAGCATGAAGAATGTGGGTCTGTTAAATTTGTTGTGAGAGCCTCAAGTCCAAGCACAAGTAACTTGATAAAAATATCAATTCAGTGAAGGTAAAGAAACTCCCTCTCCAGCCTAGATCACTATGAACTATGAGAGAACTTCAAAAAGTTCACAGAAAAATAAATAAGAGTACAAATTTATTTTGATGAAAAAAAAATTTTTAATCCTGCAGTTTTTCATAACAAGTATTTTCCCAGAGACAGAAAAAGGGCCATAAACTATGGTGCTCTGTGAAGCCTAACAGAGCCTAGCAGAGCATCAGCACACATTTGGTGGCTGACGAGATGCAGCATCATCATTCTACTTTGTGCCATAAGGACATTTGCCTACCAATTAGGTTTTTTGGA